AGGCTCAAGGCCAGGAATACCGCCCCAGGACCCGATGGCTTGCCTGGCAAAGCCTGGGTCCTGGCCTCGGAGGCTCTCGGGCCCCGACTGGAGGGGCTCCTAAGCGCATGCTTGGAGAGAGGCCAATTCCCGCTTCGTTGGAAGACGGGGGAAGCTGGTCCTCATTCGGAAGCCGGGGCGCCCTGCGGACTCTCCGTCCGCATACCGGCCCGTGGTGCTGCTCGACGAGGTGGGCAAGCTCTTTGAAAGAGTCATTGCAAACCGCCTCGCCGAGCACCTTGCGGGGACGGGGCCGGATCTTGCGGAACACCAGTTTGGTTTCCGCAAGAGGCGCTCTACGGTGGAAGCCATCATGCGCGTGAAAGCCCTCACGACGGGGGATGCAGTGGCCAGAGGGGGGGTTGTCTTGGCGGTGTCTCTCGACATCGCCAACGCCTTCAACTCCATGCCCTGGAGCTGCATTAGGGAAGCACTCCGGTATCACCGGGTGCCGACCTATCTCCGTCGTATAGTCGGGGACTATCTGACGGACAGGGCCGTCATCTACCCCGGTCGCAACGGTGAGTGGAATCGGCGAGAGACGTCGTGCGGTGTCCCACAGGGTTCGGTTCTGGGGCCACCTCTGTGGAACATCGGTTATGACTGGGTGCTGCGCGCCGACCTCCCTACCGGCGTCAGCGTAATTTGCTACGCTGACGACACGCTGGTACTGGCACAAGGGGGGTCGTACGAGGCGGCGGCGGAAACTATGACACGCGGGGTTGCGATAGTCGTTGAGAGGATTCGGCAACTGGGTCTCGAGGTGGCTCTGCACAAGTCCGAGGCCATGCACTTCCATGGTCCTCGGAACAGGCCACCACCGGGATCCTCGGTAATGGTAGGAGGGGTATCCATCGGCGTCGAGTCGACGCTGAAGTACCTAGGACTCGTCCTCGACGGCCGATGGAACTTCGTTGAGCACTTCCGACGTTTGGCTCCCAAACTGGAACGGACCGGGGCTGCCTTCAGGCGACTCCTGCCGAACCTGGGGGGCCAAACGCCTCCTGCCGGAGGCTCTACGCGGGGATCGTGCGATCCATGGCCCTTTACGGGGCCCCGGTGTGGGCGCGTGGTTTGGTGCGGCTTGCCGTCCACCACCTGAACGCGCCCCAAAGGGTGGTCGCCGTGAAAATGGTTCGCGGCTACCGCACGATCTCCCGCGAGGCGGCGAGCCTCCTTGCCGGATTGCCGCCATGGGATCTGGAGGCGGTAGTCCTCGCACGCCTGCACGAATGGCGTGCGGAGGCACTATGCCGGGGGGAAACCCCGCTGCCGCGGCAAGTTGTCGCGCAGCGGACAGACTTCCGGCACGATCTCATGGCGACATGGAGAGAGCGACTGTCGCAACCCCGTGCTGGGCACGCCACTATAGCGGCGATAAGACCCCTCTTTGAGGAGTGGCTTGAGAGACGCCACGGCATCCTCACCTTCCGCCTGACTTAGGTCCTCACTGGACACGGTGTGTTCGGGAGGTTCCTGCACCGAATCGGGCGGGAGGAAACGCCCGGGTGCTCCCACTGCGAGGATGGACCGGAGGACACGGTGGAACACACCGTGGAGGTGTGCCCTGCTTGGGCGGAGCACCGCCGTGTCCTCGTAGCGGCGATAGGCGGCGGCGACCTCTCGCGTCCGGCCCTGGTCGAAGCCATGGTCCGGAGCGAGACGGAATGGGATGCCGTCACCACCTTCTGCGAAGCAGTGATGCTAGCGAAGGAGGTGGCGGAGCGGGAGAAGGAAAGAGCAGCAGCTTTCCTCCCCGGCCGCCACGGGAGACGCCCCGGGCGTCGGGGGCTACGTCGTGGCCCCCGGCCACCGTAGGCGCGGGCCTGTGGACGGCGAGCAATGGGTAGCTCTTCGTCCGTCCGCAAAAAAAAAAAAAAAAAAAAAAAAAAAAAAAAAAAAAGCTATTTGTTCGTTTACGCGGGTTTTTATCTATATTTTTGTTTGGCCTGCGAAACCATCTTAACAATCAACTCTCTACACTGCTGTATCTTGTAGAGGGATATTAATATAATGTTATTGAAGAAATAATTTTACAATCATAGAAAGCTATAGTAATATTTTTTTAAATATTTTTTCTATAACATGAGCATATTATTAATTATTATACTCGTATAGCACATTACCTAAGAATTGAAAAGAAAAAGAAGGAGCCTCTTTAAAAAATAATTTAACGAAATGGTTATTGGAAAATTGTTTCTATAGCCTAAAAGAATATTTAGAATGGAAACATTAGTTTATGATTTATGTGCTCCACTTAAAAATAGTTTTTGTTTTATGTACCTACCTAAATATTTGCACGTCTGCGAGCACACTAAACACATGTACGTTATAGATATTTAACTGAAGACCCTGTCAACTGTGTATTATGCAAATGAAAAATTTGTATCTGTATTTAAATAAATAAAATATTAATTAAATTAATAATTAATATTTTTATAAATGTTAATAATGGTCATGGTAATGTTGGTCAGTTCTTAGAATTTAGAATACCATATTAAGTTAGTCGATTATTGAAACTGAAATGGCGGTATTTCATAAAATTTAACTGTGTTGACTATATCATGATATAGCTTGACCAAATCAATGAATATAGAGTGTTGGGCGATATTAACAACTAAACACGACATTGCTATTTCTAGATGTTATTGTTATATCGTAAAATAATTTCATTACACACCGCTAGCAGCGCTGATTATTTAGTAAACAAATATACTCAATATTTGATAAAAGCGGAATTCTTAATAGACTGTACATCACGTTTTGTTGTGCGATAGAGCCACTTCAGTCGCTCCTCAACTTATTGTGTCTGAGTACTACAGGGTAAAGTTTCAGTTGTCATAGTTTTAATGTAATAATAGCGCCATATACTTACTGTTAAATAAACTAATAATAAGTACATAACAGACCAAATGAATACAATTCTAATATGTACTTATTGTTGCAGCATCAAAATTTGTTTGACCGGTATAGACCGATGGCCACTGTCTACATGATTTATTATAATTGCCAATTTTAGCAAAATAACTAACAAAACTGTGTACACAAAACTTTGATTAAGAGAGAAGGTGTTTAGTTGAATATGTTATGTGTTGAATATGTCCGAATAGCAATATTTCACCAATTTCTTTTTGTATCAAAATATAAGTAATTGAAAATTAAATGCACTGTGATACTTTATCCATAATTGATGGAATAGTTCGTGATACCGTTGAGGCAGCCTTTTTTACTTTTATTGAGATTTTTAAAACAGTGAGTCACATATATTTTTTTTTAAAGAAGAGGGGGCAAACGAGCATGCGGCGCACCTGATGTTAAGTGACTACCGCCGCCCACGAACAACCGCAACACCAGGGTATTTGCAGGTGCGTTGCCGGTCTTTTGGAAAGAAGTAAGCTCTTTTCTAGAAGGTCCCTAAGCCGTCCAAAAAAGTCGCCGGTGGTAAACAATTCCACAGATAAGTTGTACAAGGAATAAAACTCCTAGTAAAACACACAGTGGTAAACCGCCAAGCATCCAGATGATGAGGATGGTATCGGAATTTATTAAGAAATTTTTTGTGACAGTCCCGGTTTCATAGCTCACAAGAGTAAATAAACAGGCTCTTGTGAAAAAATACTATAAATATCAAAGAAAGCAAATTTTTAACACAGGTTTATTTGTATTAACTATGAGTAGAACTGCATTCATAGAATCTTAAAAGTCATTTGTATAAGCTGGTAATCAAACCGATCTAAACGTAAATTTCGTAGCAGGTACGCAAAGACATTTAAGTAGTATATATTATATTTAAATCTCTGTAGGTACGTAAGCAACCCAAATTAGATCCGCGCGGGCTCCTTGCGATTTGCAGTTTCGATTTACCACGTTCTTGGCTGTGAAGAAAAAGATTGCAAGGAAAACTGCGTAATATCTGAGAAGTAAAAAAATATTTCGAAAATCATTTTTAAGTATAGGTATGTGAAGTCGGTCATCCCGCGTTGGAGTCAACTCAATCAACTCCTTTTAGACTTAAAACTCGCTATGGCCTATGCCTATATGTAGGATGTATTTAGGCTGCAACCTTTTTACTTTTAATAGGGCTATTTACTGGTGATCATGGACTTCCCTCATTGTTTGTCAACTAGACCGGGTATTTGCAGTAGTATTCACGCTTGGCATGCGAGTTGCCAACTGCATATTTTTATTATTTTGAGCTATGATCAGGAGGACGCCACTGCCCATCTTATGTAGATTTCTACTCCTGTTCATGAATTTAGTTATTCTTACGCATTCACCGTGAATAAAACCACATTTATGAAATTTTGAAGCCTACTAGAACGTAAAAAATACTGGCATTTGGTGCTAATCAGTATTCAATGGGACCTATATTAATAAAGACCATGAAATTAAACCCTATTTTATTAAAATTATATTAACTTTAATAATGCATTTTGTTGTTATAAATAACACATTTCCAATTCCAGAACAACTTTCCCTTCATAAAGACACATCGAAAGACGTACTCGATATAAACTAGTTGTTGCTTGATATGATATCTATGTTATACTGATGAACTAATTTATATGTTTCTGTAGCCAATATTAATATATTGCTAATATAGACACAGATACCGACGAGTCCCTACAAGTGATTCAGTTTTGCTAATTTTAGTACGAACTAGTATTAACGATGTTTCTAAATTAAAGCCCACGCAAGCGAAGCCGCGGATTAAAAGCTAGTTTTAAATAAATTAAAGATATCCTGTAACATTATGCGCTAGATGAACAATACAAGTATTTTGCAAACAGACTACAAGTGGGTGAACAATAGTGATATATATATAGGAATTGCAATTCATAATTATTCGAGAGAAAATATACAACCCTCACTTTTATTTTAAACGTCTTAGTACCTCTTCTAAAATAGTTGCTCTGAATTTTGGTACCGCTATTAATAGATTTTTTTTAACTGAAACTTACCAATCTTTTTTCGCTGCAAAGTTTGTTCTTTCCCGCAATCAAATATGAACGTCACCTCTTGCATATTAAAATTGCATTTTTGCCTCTCTTTCTGAAGATCAACGTTGACCTTGACACTCATTTTATTTAAACTCAAACTTGTATGTGCGAAAATTACCACCTAAGGTGTGCGGACCTAACATACAGGCGTCTACTACTACACAAATTTGGAACGAACTGACTGAATAAAATTAAATTGCTATGCAAATTAATTTACTGTGAAACAAGAAATAATAAAACCATTTATTTACGAGAAATCACTCCGTTGTTGTCGCGATATCGTAATGATATAAGCAGATTATTTGCAGAAAATTATGGCTTTAGAAAGATGAAGTATTTATTTAGTGCACTATAGAGCAAAATCAAATAAAAAAGTGATGTTCACTGTTTGGTGGTCTAGCGCCGGTGTGTGTTATCACAGCTTTTTACCAAACGGGATGAGCATTACTGTAGATGTGTACTGTGAAGAACTGAACAAAATGATGGAGAAACACGCACATCTCCAACGGCTTTAGTCATACCTCGCACGTCTCCGACAGCTTTAGTCATCGTCCCCGCTCCATCTGCACAACAACACGCGTCTTCATACTGCACAACAGACGGTTTTCAAGATACAAGAGCTGGGGTTGGAAGCTCTCCGTCATCCGCCGTACTCACCAACCTTATACAGACATCTATTTTTCCAGAGTTTGGATAACTTTTGGCGGGAAAATATTCATACCCGAGAGGCAGTACAAAATTACTTTTTAGAATTTGTTGCCTCCCGTCCAGCTAATTTGTTCAAGAATCCAAAAATTCAAGAATAAATAAACTGACACTCCGTTGGCACAAATAAATCAATTGCATGGGTGATTACTTTGATTAATAGAAATATAAAACATAGAAAAAAATATTTACGTTAATCTATTTTATAAAAAACGGCAAAGGTAAAGACATAATATCTTACTTTTGTAAATAACTAAAGTAATATTGTCATGTCCTATTAAAAATCCTTAAATTCGCAAAAAAATACAATGTGGCTCACTCATGGGCAAAAAAACTATTCTCTCTCTCAAGTTGGACCAAACTGCCCATGGTAAATTTTATTAAAATCGGTTGAGTAGTTTCGGAGTCCATCGCGGACAAACAACGTGACACGTAATTTATATATATTAAGATATATATATATATATATATATATATATATATATATATATATATATATATATATATGTTGAGCAAAGAAAAAATACAAAGTCGAAACCATCCAAAGTATGAATGTTTAAATTGCTATACATACGATCATACGATCTATCCGTCGGTACATGTCTTACTCTATTGTGACGACCGCCGGTTGTCCGGCACTAATGATTAATTGATTCATTCATTCATGGCTCATGAAAATGCAAATTGGGGGCACTGCACTTTGAAACTAGTCCTTGCGTTATGCAAACTATACTTAAGTTAAATGCTGGCTTTTGCATTAAATATTTCACTTTTGTATATTTTACTGTTTCATTGCTCTAATGGTTGTAAGGAGTTGGGTTCGAATATCGGGTCAGGCCTAAAATCAGTTATTGAGCTTTCCTATCAAGAAATTAAGAGCAACCCAAAGTCAAGAAGTTGGCGTTGTTTCACCCACATGTCTCGAAAAGAACGTCATGTCCGACTGCCGACCTGTACTTGTGCACACACTTGTACTATAATTCTGTAAAGCGCAGTTGGTTAGTCTGCGATGCGATTGGCCGACTCGACCGAAAATTCGCTCAGGAAGACATTATAAATATTTCATGTTATGAGAGCAATCATACGACTTTCGGCTAAAATTAGGCGCTACAATTTACGTACTCATATTATGTCAATAACGCATTCTGAAAGATGTACTCATGTATTTCACGAAGTCCAATGAGTTTCAGAACCTGTGTACCATGAGTCCTAACTAGATCTACTACCATAAGTATATAAATGTGTTTAAAGCTTTGATTAAAACTACTTTTACGGATTTTATCAAGTTTAATTCCCGACGTTTCGAGTGCTTTCCAGCACCCATGGTCACGGGGGACTAAGACGACTGACGTCCCGATTTTATTTTAAATCCGGAGTACCTTCAGCTTTTTAAATTATTATTTATGGTCCGATCTACGCAAAATGAACTGGCTGTGTCTTGAAGACTTGCAGTGGTATGCTTGGGTTTAGTTTTAATTAGTGTTGCCCAAAATCGGTCTTGGTCTTGCAGTCTTGGTCTTGTTCTTGCATTTTTGCAAGACCAAGACCAAGAACAAGACCGCCTAATTTTAGCAAAACCAAGACCAAGACTGACCGTGCAAGATTTGAGCAAGAACAAGACTAAGCCTGCGAGACTCTTGCGTCTTGCAGTTAGGAATGAGTGTCGTTTCAGGGAGTATAGGAGTTCGGGTATACGCTTAAGGACTCTATGAGACGCAAAAAATATATAAAAAGATTTGGAAAATTGGACTTATGCACATTACAAATAATACCATAAACATACATAGCGGATGAAAATATCCATTAAAAGAAAAAACAGTGCATCCCTAGTTTTGACCATCGGCACTTTGATAGTGCGCGGCGTCTTGTTGTCGGCATCATCAAAGGTCGAATACTGACCTGTCAAAGAAATTTTGCAGCTATTCGGAAGTACAAGGTCAAGATACACGCGCCAGCGGCTTCTATTGATATCGCATTCAATCGTCGCCGCCGCGCCGCACGCACTACATTTGACACTGTTTGAATGCCGTCACACCCCCTTAGGGGTTCACCCCCCTTAGGGTTAAGATTTCGTAAAACAGCTTATTCAGGATTTTATTATTAAAAACTTACAACTTTAATGCCGATTTTTGTGTCTCTAATTTCAAAAACGTAGGACTTTCATACAAACTTCCAACTCCCATTTCACTCCCTTAGGGATAGATTTTCTCAAAACCGTTTCTTTAACTGATCTCTATGTCATAAAAGGAACCTACCTTACAAACTTCAAGTTTGTATGTTTTATAGTTCCTGAGATATCGTTATAGTCAGTTAGTGAATGGTAGTATAAAAAATATATATATATATATATATATATATATATATATGTGTGTGTGTATATACACCGGCACAATTAGCGGAACAGAAAAAAAGTGAGACTATGAGATAATAACGCATATATTTGACGAAAATGTAATTAGACACAAAATAACAAATTGATTAACATCTTTTAACAACGACTTTGAAAAGTCTTCGTTATTTTTTATTGAAAAATAAAGAAATAAGTGAAATTTTTAGATGATTATGAACCATCACAAAAATAAAAAAAGTAAGCATTAAATAATTTAACAATAAAATTAAAGCAAAATTAATAACGAGTGTTTCCCTCTCTTGCTCTGATTACGGTTTCCATTCGTCTGGGCATGCTACAGATTATGTTATCGATGATTTCTTGAGGCAACCGCTCCCACTCCTCAAGTAATGCGTTTCCAAGTTCATTCAGATTGTTGGGGGGGTGGCATTCGGGATTTAACCCTTCTTTTTAGCAAGTCCCAGACATGCTCTATCGGATTCATATCGGGGGGAATTTGCTGGCCACTGCATCACCGGTATACCTACGTGGCTCAGATATGCCTGTACCGATTGTGCACTATGAGCACGAGCATTATCTTGCATTAGAATAAAGTCGTCACCAATAAATGGGGCAAATGGTACAACATGTTCTTCTAAAATGTCTCTGATGTATCGATCTGCTGTCATGGTCCCTCCTGTGACTATCACTAACTCCGTGCGAGCTCCCAAACATATCCCTCCCCAAACCATAATCGAGCCGCCACCATAAGCCACTGTATGTTCAAAATTAGACTGTATGTGGCGTTCTCCTTTGCGTCTCCATATTCGCTGTCTCCCATCGATTTGTTTTAAAAGAACTCTGCACTCATCAGTAAAGAGAACCTGCTGCCATTCGTTCAAATCCCAATGACGATGTTCTCGCGCATAGCTTAATCGGTTTACGCGGTGACGTCTCTCAAGTTTTGGGCCTTTGGCAGGTATATACGACCCTAAACCAACTTCTTCAAATCTCCTGCGAACTGTACACTCACTTACTCGTACTCCTCGAACGTCTTCCAGTTCATTTCAAGCTTGTACAGCCGTTAAACGCGTATTCCTACGAACTCCAAGTTGTAAAAAACTGTCATCTCGCCTCGATGTACACCTTTTTCTACCTTGACCCCTCCTCCTCACATGAGAATTAGACGATCTGTACCGCTGGATGCTGCGATGAATCGTTGATACTGGTCGACGAAGCCTTGAGGCAATCGATCTGTAGGTATGGCCATTTCTTCTCATTTCAACAGCCCTAATGACTTCCAGTGATGTTAAGTCAGGCATAATAAAGAGCTTTTAATAAACAAAATTGCCTATAGAATAACAAATTTATAAAAAACCATTAAGTGCAATTTTTCAAAAAAAATTACAATTACGTAGTTATTACTCGAACAAGTTGACAAAACGCATTGTTCGGGAAAATAAAACAAATGAATGAAAAAAGTGTATGTCATCTAATTTTCTGTTTTCAAATTTGACAATAAATTAAAAAAATATCATAACTGGCCAGTTCCTCAATTAAAAGATTTTAAAATCCTGCTTTTTTTGTGTTCCGCTAATTGTGCCGGTGTGTATATATAACTACCACTCACTAACTGTATATATATATATTATATATATATAATATATATATATATATATATATATATATATATATATATATATATATATATATATTATATAGATTATAGTGTTAAATATGTATTTATAATTCACTCATATTTTCATTTGTTTTTATAATCGGCGAGACACATGATTTACGGTTTTATTTGAGTCTGAAAATAGCAGTGACAACATCACGACAGCTACAGTTGATTAGATGGTTAAAAAATATCTTCCCTTCTCATTTTTCGATGACAAAGCTACACAAGTATATTTTCGATCAATTTGCTCAAATATGGTGTTTCCTAAAAGGTCCACACTTAGGAGGAAGGTCAAAGAACGGTTTGAAGAGCTTCAATTGAATCTTAAGAAACGACTACAACAATTTTCATCTAAAATGTCATTTAC